TACCGTAAATCAAAAAAGGTTTACTGTTATTTAGTTTGGTTCAATACCTACAAAATCTTCATTGCTTTCACTGTAAGTTATTTTTTTATTATTTATGGAGCATTGTAAATAGTTATGTTTTTAAAATAAAAAAAAACTACTATTGTTATAAATAACATTCAATTGAATTAAATTATGCATGCTTATTTAAATATATTTACACCTGGCTTGTGTGTATATCGTATATATACATATATATTATTCATACCTTCGGTGCATAGAACGCAAACAGATTTTGACATAAAAAAAGTGCGTCTTATACACCGAAAAATACGGTACATTTTTAACTAAGTTCATTGTTAGTTCTAATCTAGGTAGGTAGTTTCAATGTTTGTACATTGTTAACTAAGTTCATTGTTAGTTCTAATCTAGGTAGGTAGTTTCAATGTTTGTACATTGTTAACTAAGTTCATTGTTAGTTCTAATCTAGGTAGGTAGTTTCCTCTGATCTGAAGTTATTGATAATTCCAAAAGTTTATCAGTTTTCTGGTTTTGTGTAATTAGGTTATAATACTATCATTAAACGTTAAACTGCTCCTCCTTATCTCGAATTCAGCTGAGATCGTCATTTTGGTAAATATTTCTGAATTAACTAATAAAACTGTTATTTTTAATTGACTTATTCATAAACTGATGTTAATCAGACTAAAGAAAGAAATGAATTAAATGAAAGATTAGTTAAGCCTAGCTTTAGTAAAACATAACAACAAGTGCTAGGTTCTGCGGCTGAGTCGTATAAAATAGATCTTAATACATAACCAACAGCGGAAAATTCTGAAACTTAAACGTTCATATTCTTAAGAAGCTGTCGTAGGCTTACAGATATACATACAGAACACAAAACTGCAACTCAACATCTACTACAAGTCTACCACAACGTCGGACCTTATCATGAAAAACAGCCCTGCTAAAAAGACAACAGATCTACAGCAAGTGAACGTCATTTACGAGTACAAGTGTAATAAAGGAGACTGCGAGCTCCTGGCAAACGCCTCCTACATCGAAATGACTACCACAACCCTGTCAAGACGCCTAACAATCCACTTACAAAAAGGAGCCATCAAAGAACACTGTGCCCGCATCCACAACCAAAAACTCCCACGTCAGGACAAAGTAAAAAACACCAAAGTAAACCGCCGATTTAACGACTTCACAACTCTCCAAATTCACGAAG